ACATACCTACAGTAATCTAGATAATTTGGTATTGGCAGAGGGGTAGACATATAGGTCAATAGAACAGAGTAGGGAACCCGAAAATAGACCCACACAAAATTACTCAACTGACTTTTGACAAAAGTAAAAAACAATTCAACAGAGAAAGGATAGACTTTTCAAAAATGGTGCTGGGGCAATTGGACATCCTGAGGCAAAAACAATAATAAATAAATAAGTTTGCTTCATATCTCATAGTATAAACAAAAAGTAACTCAAAATGAATCATAGACAAACATAAAACTTAAAAATATAAAATTTCTAGAAGAAAACAGAAAATCTTTGTGACCTTAGGTAAAGTCTTAGTACAACAACAAAAGCATAAAGCATAAAATAAAACTGATAAACTGGACTTCATCAACATTACAAATGTCTGCTATTGGAAAAATGCTAAGAAATGCACAGACTGGTAGAAAATATTTGCACATCTCATACTAAAAAAGGAGTTATATCTAGAACATAAAAAGAACTCAAACCTCAATAAGAAAACAATTCCATAAAAAAATCGGTAAAATATTCAAACAATCAGTTTACCAAAGAAGATATACGGATGGAAAATAAGCACATGAAACAATGCTTACCATCATTAGTCATTAAGGAAATGCAACTTAAAACCACAATGAGATTCTACTACCTACTTATTATAATAGCTAAATTTAAAAAGACTAACCATATCAAGTGTTGCAAGAACTCTTATATAATGCTGCTAGGAGTGTAAGGGGGTACAGCCACATGGAAATAGTGCGGCAGCTTCATAAAAAGTTAAACATGAAACATACACATAAACCAGATGATCCAGTCATTACAATCCTAAGTATTTATCCCAAAGAAATAAAAGCAAATACTGTATCCATGAAATACTTGTACATGGATGTTAATAGCAGCTTTATTTGTAATAGATCCAAGATGAAAATTGCCAAGTATCCACCAAAAGGTAAATGGATCAACAAGTTGTGGTATATACACACAATGGAATACTATTTAACAATAAAAAGGAATGGATTGCTGATCATTGCAACAGCACAGATGAATTTCAATTTTGTATCAACTTAATTATGCTGAGTGAAATAAACTAAACAAAAAGGGGCTTATAATGTTATGATTCCATTTATATAAAATTCTGTAAAAGTACAAACTTGCTATAGTGACAGAAAGCAGATGAGTAGGTGCCTGGTGATAGACATGGTGTGAGAAAAGGCTAGGGGAGAGAAGGGAACACAGAGATGCTTTGGAGGTGATGTATATGTTGACAATCTTGCCTGTAGTGATGGTTTTATGATTGCATCCATTTGTGAGAACTTTTCGAAGAGTATACTTTAAATATGTGAGCTTATTATATGCCTATAATACCTCAATAAGGCTGTTTAAAAAATTGGCAGCTTCCCCATTGACCTTAAAATAAAGACCAGACGTTTCCCATGGTATACTAGGTTCTACATAATTTTTCTCCCTGTCTACCTCCCTAATCTCACCTTGGGCCACTACCCGCTCACCTTTATCTGCTGCAATTATAATTGGTTCTTCAAGGTTTTGTGATCCTTCCCACTTCAAGGCCTTTGCAAATGCTATCCCCTATGCTTTCCCACATTTTGCCTGGTTAACTTCCTCTCATCACTCCGTTCTCAGCTCAAATATTACTCCCCCCAGAAAAGACTTATCAAACATCCTAAATAGTTGATGTTTGCACAGTGAGAAGTTTTCCTGGCACCCTCTACATTTTCCTTTTTAAAATTTGTCACAAATTTTATTCACATTTTTAATACATTTTCAATTAATGTCTGCACACACTACTAACATATAATAATTTACATATATTATCTAGTTAATACTTTTAAAGAACTAGTTATATATAATTATGACAGTTTTCCGTATAAAGAAAAAGATTAAGTAACTTTGTTTAAGAGGACACACATACTAGTCAATGGCAGTGGTTTGAATCTAACCATCTCTGACTTTAAAGCACTTGGTCTCAATTAATGATTAATGATCCTATGATATGATATCCATTATGATCTAACACCAGAAAGAAATCTAATCTGGAAGGTAGAGCATAAGCTTTAACCAATATGGCAGCAGGTAAATAGGTGGTACTCCCAGGCAAGAAGTGTACTTGGAAAGATCTAAACTAGGTTGTGTGGTGTTTGACAGGTAAGCCAGACATGGAAATGGAAGATCCAGAAAATAGTCCTGAAATTTGGAAATCAGGATGGGCGTCAAGGAACTAGCAATGAATCTTTGCAAGATAGGGTAAGCACAATGCGATCCTAGGTAGACTGTGGTACAGGGCAGATTAACAAGGCAGAGATCCAGTAATCAAATGCAAGATGAGAACCAAGACATCTCCAGGTCTAGGCAGAAACTCGTGGAGAAGTTTAGAGACCAGAATATAGTACGCATGATGATACTGAATGCTAGAACGCTGGTCTGCATTTCTAAAATCTCTCCCTACCCACAACAGAACTTCACTTCACCACTCCCTTACCACCTTACTCCAAGTTCAAGGATGTCTCAGAAGAATTAGTCTCCAAATTTAAAATTCCAAATGTAGGAGTCGCATGGTAATAACAGAGGAGAGAAGACAGATAAATAGGCTGGAAATTGCAAGGAAATATTAATTCAGTATTCAATTATGTAAGTAATTATGTGTGCAATAGCCAGACATTATAATGTAAATCACATTCATTGTCTAAGCTATTTTTTCTTTTCTAAGTTAAAAAAAATGAGCTCATCTGATAAGGATTTGCAATTTGCATCAGTAGACAGGCTTCTGGTTAAATGACACTGCCACTTGACAGATAAAAAGCATCATGGTATTCAGAATTCTTCATCCCCCAAGTGGATCAATGGCCTAAAGTACAGAGGTGTTCATAAACTATCTTCAAAAGGAGAATATAATATATTGCCTCCTGTCAGTAAGAAAGGACTTACCCTAAATCAAGAGCTGAAATACTGCCAGTATCTAAGATACATTTATTTCTTTAAAGGAGGTGAACTTTTAAGCCAAACTTCTCACCTGCAAGAATAAAATTTATGTTGATCAATAAAATCCAGACATGTTCAAGATATTAACAATCTGCACAAATTATAATAATTTAGCTAAATTTCAACAAAGTTTGTCATTTTCACTAGAGAATTCCTGTTTGTTTACAAAAAGTGTAATTTTTGCCTTCCAATATATCTTTTTGTATCATGTATATCTTTGGGATTGAAATTAAATAAATACATTATATTCTTTTTTTTTTTTAGTGAGGAAGATTGGCCCTGAGCTGATATCTGTTGCCAATCTTCCTCTTTTTGCTTGAGGAAGATCGTCCCTGAGCTAATATCTGTACCAATCTTCTTCTATTTTGTACGTGGGACACCACCACAGCATGGCTTGATGAGCGATGGGTAGGTCCGTCTCCGGGACCCAAACCCATAAACCTGGGGCCACTGAAGCAGAGCATGAGAACTTAAACACCACGCCACCGAACCAGCTCCTATACTCCATTTTTGTAGAAATTGAGCACTTTATAATTAATGAACAGAGTTTTTCATTGACCATCTTGAATGGATTATATAACTTTTAAAGGCACTGTGTTCCCCAAATGCCTCAAGTTAGTATCCTTCCTGGACATAAATTACAAAATCAGGTTCTCTATTCCTAGTTTGGCTTGCTTTTAAATTTGTCTCCCTTTTTACATGTTGTAAGTCAAGTTTGATCCATACTGAAGACGATGAGATGTTTTTAAACTGGTATCTTTATCGATGAAAATATATTGTGTAAATTCACAAACAATATTCATCAGCCTAGAATCTAATTCAATCGTTATGACATTCAATGCTCTCAATAACCATCAGTTCTGGGTGATTGGCAAGATAGAGTACAAATTTTAAAATAACATAAAAGATGTTAACTAAAGAGATTTGGCCATTATTCTTAAATCTTAAGTGGTTTAATATTATCATATTGCCATGGAGTAAACTATTCTTTTCGGCACTGGGAGGATCCAATTTTAGGATTTTAAGTTCAGTGGGGTCACTTGTTTCTTAGCAAAAACAGCACAGCCTTTTACTTTCTCTCTTCTAAAGTCGGTCCAAACTCTAGCAGCATATCAAATAAGACCACTACAGCTGCTTCTGTGATGTTTGAGGTTGCTTGACTGGGTCGATGCAATGGTGAAATATATATAATGGGTTATATTTTAGGAATATGGAAGAGAGAAAAGGACAAAAGTACTAATTAAATTTGAAATCTGTATATTTCTGGAATGATGAAAACACAGGAGAATATGGTAATCCCAAATGTCAACCTCATTTTCACTAAACTTCTAAAAATTTTTAATAATGCTTTAATCTTTCACCTTTATACAAGACCCAAGGTCCACTTTTAACAAAGGTCTCAAAAGAGCCCAAATGCAAACTCAGATATCATGTTTTTATGTTTAAAAAGTGCAATGTGAGCAGCCCAGGTGTCAGGCTCATTTTCATACCCTTGCTGCGTGGGTGGCGCAGCGAGAAACCACCATAAATCATCTCTTGGCTGTACACAATTAATTTTATGTTCTGTACTTCTCCTCTGTTTTTATGCTCTTTCTTTTTATATTTGATTTTTGAGGTCACTCTTGGTTTGAGGTGAAATACCCAAGCTTACTATTAAAATATCACTGGGTGATATTACAAGTTTTAATAATGATATTCAGGGTCACCTTTTTCCACAAGTTTTAAAATTAACTGTCAAAAAAGTGTCAAAAGAAAAATAACACTTAACACTAACCCTTTTAAATATAAGAATATATTAAGTGGGTTTACTGAGTAATTTCTTGAAGGGTAAAACATTTCTACTATGACTGTATATTTTCACAGTGATCCTTTCTCTTATTTATTGTTACCTTGGAAGTGGTTTCAACTTCATCAGAGTTTCTTACCACTTAGCCGATTTGCAGTAAAACAGGAAAAAAATCTTTTTTAATAATTTTCAGAATAGCTATTCTTCCAGACGGGACTCTACGGATCTTAAATGCTTCTAAATCAGATGAGGGAAAATACATTTGCCAAGGGGAAAATGTGTTTGGTTCCGCTGAAATCATAGCTTCATTATCTGTAAAAGGTAAGAAAATGTGGCTAAATGTTTTATGAACATAGTTTCATGATCTTTATCAGACAATGAATAAATATACTATGCATGTGTACATGTTTGCACGTCTGGGTGTGCATGCTCCTGTTGATAACATCCATTGCAAACCTAGAACTAACCCAGCCAAACTGTCCCTTTCCGTTATTTAGGGGACCATAAAGGAAGGAACGCCTTCTTGGTAGAACTGTAAATATTTCGCTCTGAACAAAATACGTGATAAAGAAAACTTTCTGAAGTTTTAATTGATGTCTCAAAATTTAAAAGTATGCCAACACTATAAAAATATTTTTCCTCCTCCAAGATTAATTTTAGCATCAATCATTCATATGCCTTTGTTACTACTTCAGTTGGGGATTTGGGGCAGAAAGGAATAGCAGAAGGAGCAGGTGAATGTACGGTGTCAGAGTGTGCATCAGATAACCTGATACCAGAGCTGTTCTTTGATGTTTGCATCCGTGGGACTTTTTAGGATTATAAATATTGCTGCTTAAATGTTTCTCTTAGCTTTTTAGTTCTAAAGTGAACTAGATTTCAGCCTAGAACCTTCTTTTGAGACTACATGTCTTTGTTTAGTACTAAGAAAATCTTGTATCTTAGGCAGTCCCTTCAACTGGCAAAGGAATATTTTTCACAATTGAACTATATTCTTAATAATTTTTTCCATTTGTGCATGTGTTGCATAGTGACTCATATTTGGACATAAAAATATAGAAATGTTTATTTTTCTCTTTCTTTAGAAATAGAAATGTAATTAAAATAGCTGGCACTCTGATATTTTAGAAAAGAGGCAAACATAAATGGAAGAAAGAAACATAATTTAAAAGATGTCCTCGTTTATAGCATACATTCCTGGACTCCAAGTCTGTCCTCTAGGTCGTGTCTTATTCCTTCTCTGTGCAAAACAATCTTTTTTGTAATTAGGCAAGGCTGGATTCACAGACTCTTTCTTTATAATAACAAAAATATTTTCTGTTAATTACAAGTTAAATGGAATGTTTAGTTACTCAGACCGTTCCAGTTCTCACAAAGTTTAAACGACAGTTTGCTGTGATTGTCTGTCTTGTCTGATGAAGCCAGAACTTAGAATGCTGCACGGAATATCAGCTTCTGGAATGTTAATATTTACAGTGGCATTCCTTTGCTGGTATTGCACGTTCCTCTGAGTGACTGCTTACAAGGATGTTGCATATTAAAGGATCTTATCAGCCGTTAAGAATGGCACTTCATCAGATTGTGCTATTGCCAACAATAGAGCTAGAATAGGAAAATTAGGCTAATTTTTAATCATTTATGTCAGTCTTCTTGAGGTGCCTACAATCAGGAATCTAATTAGGAAAAAAGACAAAATCAAAATCTTATCTTCATCACCTCTCTGCTTTATTCCGAAAAGCACATCATATTGCAGCTGTTTGATCACCAGCTTAAATAACCCTTAGATACACAGCCGGTGTTAGCCTTAATGATTCAAACTTGCTCTAAACCCAATAAAAAGGTATCTATTTTTTAAAAATGTAACTGAATCATTAAGAAATTAAACATAAATATTTTTTTCTCAAAAGACATTTATACTCAGTCTTTTGCCTTTTCTTTTTAGATCTCAAGTAAAACATCTACAATCTATCAAAAGGCTATTTTATAATCAGCCAGTCGTGCCTCCTCGACTCCTTTTCTACTCATGAGAGGGTTTTGTAGGCTGTAAAGCAAATGAAAGTGTTCTAGTAGTCATAGCATATTTTTATCTCTGTTAAGACAGTAATTTGCGGGAAGGTGCTTCCTATAACCTTCAAAGAAGTAAACTGCCCTGAATTCTTCCTCCTTAGATGTGGAGCCTTTTTTATTGTAAAAATCCTTTTATTTATACTTGATGATCCTTGAAGGTGGGCGGGGAGGTTCCAGCCTCTTTTTTCTAATTTTCCTCCTCCCAGAATGCCAAATCCTCTTTCTAGTTATGCAGTCTCGCATCTTTTTTGTCCAAGTTGACTTAATAGGAACAGGGACTTAAAACCATTAGTCCCCTACAATAGAAAAGTAAAATGCGCTAGTATACAAAAAGGGAATATTTCAATTAATAATAATAGTTTATTTACAGATGTATATCTGGAGCAACTGCAGTGCATACATTCTTGAAGTTTTTCTCTATTATTTAAAGTATAGAATGCAAGGAAATACTACATGTTGATTACACTGATTAACATATTTTTTATTTCTATAGAACCTACAAGAATAGAACTTACTCCTAAAAGAACAGAGTTAACAGTGGGAGAAAGTATCGTCCTTAATTGCAAAGCGATTCACGATGCTAGTTTGGATGTCACTTTCTACTGGACGCTAAAAGGACAGCCTATCGATTTTGAGAAAGAAGGTGGACATTTTGAAAGCATCAGGGCCGTAAGTTAACATGCTTTTATTTTTTGAGTAATAATAATTTCAGAAATTCAGACTCAAATGTAAAAACTTTCTTATCTTTGAAATGCTAAGGAGAAATAGGAAAAAAATCAATTTGATTTAAACAACTATTTTCATTATTTTATGTTTACATCAAAATGAAAGTAATAATCATCTAAAAAATCCCAGTAAAAAATTGGGAATACTTCTTTTTGCAAATCTGGTTTCTTTGCCACTTTTATTTATTTATGAATATTGTCAATATTTACACGCCACTTCTCAAAAGTTATGTTGCTACATAAAATGGCTAGTGTTATTTGAAGCATTCTTAACAGTAATTATGATACAATAAATAAATGAAATAAGCCTGCCTGTCCTACTCCTTAAGAAATAGTAATTTCTCACAGGCTATCAAGCTTAAACATGCAACCCATGGTCAGAAATGCACGTTAGCCTTACACGTTCACAGACATACTCATTTTTTGTCAGCCTAATCTTTTCTTTGTAATATCTTCTTTTAGCTTACATATCTAAGTGGCAATCAACTAAATAGAGTGGGAATTCTTTTGAACCAAATCCTTTAGAACTATCGCAGTGTCTTAACTCAAAAGAGAAGTGAAAAAAACCCACCTTCCTGTTTAACCTAACAGAGTAACACAATGACAGAAGGAGAGAGAGAAAAGGATGGAACTAGTGTGGCAGAGAGACATTTTGGCTGGTATATCCCTTCTACATTAGCTAAAGAGATGTGTCCAAGTATAATTTATGCCTACAAATCCAATTTACATGCTGCCATATACTCATTAATAGCAGTTTATTCTTCTCCAAACACTTTGGGAAGCACTGGAAAATCACAGCTGTAGTGAGCCCAAAGATATAAAACTCAGTTTGGATTGAATTTCATGTTAAAGATAATACAATGTAGTGAAAAAACTCTTAGATCCAAAGTCACGAATTTTCTGAATCAAGTCCCAACTCAATCCCTAATTAACTGTGTAACAAAAAGCCAGTCACTTGACTCGCCCGGGCATTAATCTCAGAGAGAAGAAAAGTGAACGAACTGGACCAGATAATTTCCAAGATCCCTTCTCATTATAGAATTTTATAAATTTATATTAGTGGAAGAATAAAAAGGAGCTCTATTTGTTGCATCTTCCAATGTAACCAAGGTTAAACATTTTCTTGCAAGTTATTCCTTTTATCCTGGTTTGCTTTGCAATTAATGGAAGACATTATCAGAAACAATTATGTACCAATTGCATTGTTCACCTCTCACTAAATAAATTAATTTTAATTATTAATGGTTATCTTGTATGCAAAATATTTAGATCATGTTAAATTAAACTCATTTTCCTCTGGTTTGTGACTTTCCTTTCTCCTTTACCCTGGGTTAATAATTCCTTCCAAATTGTGATCAAATTTTATGCCATGAATGTCAGAAAACAGAACCAGAAAAATATGATACAAAAATATCACATTGAAAACAAAAAATATACCATCAAAATATATCTTCTTAAGATTATCTGTAAACATTCATTTTGAGTGATTAGATATATAAAGTAAAAATATGTCTAAAATAAATATTGGTTTTTCTTCATATAAATTAAGTAGACCCCCTCTTTATTTTAAAATACCAATACAGAAATTAATGGTCCTGGTAAAATTAGATGAATTCTTGTTTTTATCTCTTAGACATTACTACTTTAGTTTGATGTCATTCATTTGTATCAATAAATACATTTAATCCTTTTCATAAGGTTAGCAGTTAATAATAACTGCTATAGCCCTCTTTACATATATGCTGTTCTTGCCCTTGAGAAGTACAAAATTGACTCCTTACTCCATTCAAGCCCATATTGTTATAAGCCATGTTAAAATTAGGCTCTGGATGGCAGACAGTGATAATTAAGTATAGCATAGAAGAATAAAGCAAATTGTCATATTGAGAAGTGAGAAAAATATTTAGCTTTAAGGTAATGTAGGACTTATCACTTTTGTATATTTAGAATAGTTAATGGAAATATGCATGTACTTAAAAAATATTTGGAAGCTTCGAAACTGCAAAGTGTAAAAGAAATTATCTATTCCTTTTCTCCCAATTACTTCAAACACTGATTGGGTCCTGGCTGACTTCAAGGACACACACTGGAGAGAATTCCATTTTAGGACACTAAAAAGGCAGAGAGAAAAAAGAAAAACATTCTATCACCCTTCCACCCTTCTGCTTGTAAAATAATATGTTGAGAAATAATGTTTTAAGAAGAGGAATCAAGTGTTATAAAGAAGGGAGATTTGGGAAGGCCTCCGGACTTGCCAACATCTTCTGTTTAAGAGCCAGGTGGGGTCATCTATGGCCTGCTCTGAGTTTCAAAGGAGAGCCCCTGAAGGGACCTTAGGGCCTACGCTGGCCCAGCAGAGTGAGAAAGCCAAATGGGATTCAGGGACTTAAGCAGGAATAGAGTGTGCCTCTGGCTGGAGACTTTCTAGATTAACTGCCCTGGGACCTAACCCACCAGTAGGTGACCAAATGGGGATGAATCAAGAGAAAGGGGGGGTATACTTTTTAAGCACATTAACCCTGCATAGTGTCAAATGAATCAATCAAACCTCTTGGCAGGGAGGGGGAGATACTAATGGTGTTGATATTTAGCATCGTACAGATGCCAAAATATAGCTTAATTAACTTCTCTATCTTTCAATTAATTGTACTGGTGTCTTTCTACACAGTCGTTGGTTTGTAGGGAAAGCTCTAGGCAAATTTTTATATGTAGCTTTTATAATATCTATATGCAATGCACATTGTTATCTTTTAAATAAAATAGTGCTTTTGGACTGCATTTTATGAGTGAATAGGTAAATATATAATTGCATCAGGTTAAAAAAATAATAGCTACTGCTTTGAAATTTAAATTAAAACATCTATAATGAAAATGCTGCTGTTTCTCCTGCTCTCTTTACTTAGGCATGTTTTACCAACCCAGCAATTTGACTGATTTGAAGTGAATCCATTATTGAAGCCACTGTTAAAAGGATCCAAGCAATCAATTTGTCCATAAATGTTTGATCCAATTCACCTGAATCACTTTTTTGGCAATGATATAATGAACTAACTGAATGTGGCAAATAGTGAGGCTATTCTTAAGATTTTAATTTCAATTCAATTTGACCAGCTAAGTGTTGTAGGGGATCCAAGTAAAAGACGTGGCCCGTCTCCCTTAAGAGAGCACGATTTAAGGGAAGAGACAGCAGGACGGACTAGTGACCTGCTGTAACCGTGCTATCAGCAGAGAACTCTGTGTACGCGGCTGGCAGGAGGAGTTGGTATTTGAACTGGACCTGGGTAGGTACGATTTTGCCAGGTGGCTAGGAGAAGAAACTGCATTTCAGACAGAGTGAGCATGGGGTGCAAAGACAGAAAGGTGGAAGAGTTTAGAGCTGGTTCAGGGCCAGTGTGGAAACGCTGGCTCTGACAGCATAGTGAGAGCACATAGCAGATGATAAGTCAATATATGTGGAATAAATTTAAAGGAAAGCAGCAGAGGCCTCACTGTAAAAGGGACCAATTTCCAAGCCGTGGAATTTGGGTTGTATTTAGAATGCAGCAAGCAGCCATGCGATTCAGCTTTGAGTTTTAGGAAGATAATTCTGACAGCTGTGTGAAATAGGGATTGAACAGCTTGCGGACTTTATGTCCAATCTAGACCAGATAAGCAGAGGTTACAATGAGGAGTCGACTGTTATAAGCCTTGGCCTTAAATAGCCATCCTGTTAATCAAACAAAGCATTTACAATTGTGTTCTGACACAATTATTTCTGTTGGTCAGAGGCCTGCGAGAACCTCTTCACACTCAGAATGTCTGAACAGCACCTGAGCATGGCCACGTGGCCCCAAAGCCACAGTCTTAATGGAGGATCCATTATTTTCCAGAGATGTGAAATCCCTAATTATTCATTCAAGATGTAAGTTAGTTTTAATCCTTATAATGAATAAAGAACAGTTACATTGAATACCATGGAAACCTGCAATTTGCTCTGTTTCCTGGCAGAGGAAGAAAAACAAACGTTTGGCATCAGGATATTAGCTAAAGAAGTTGCCCTTTCGATTGTGAACTCTCCAAATATGCTAAATTGCAACTAAATGGGCAATCAAATCAAAATGCACTACTTGAATGGTCCTTCATATATACCAAATTCTCTGGTTAAACAGTACACTCAGGAAGAGAGAGTAGCGATATTTGACCACATTTTTTAATGAGGAGACTGACGCGCAAGACTTTTCCAGGCCACATGAACACTAAATTGTGGTTCCAAGGTTAAATACTCTGATTTTTAAACTGCATTGTGTTGATTCTCGTCTAGAAATCTTACCCTCTCCATATTAATTAACCATTATATGTTCAGCCATTGCCTATAAACTGTGGGAAATAAAAATAAAAGGAAGATTTGATTCTAGTCTTTAATAAATGTAAAGATGACATAGAACACTAAGTAATTCAAGAAAAATATAACCCAAAAATTACTAATTTTTTATTACAGCCAAATATTATTGAAGGCCAGAAAAGACAGCAATTAATGTGAATTTTTATCATTGTGGAGGAAAGCAAGAAAAGGAATTAATTGATCACCTACTGTATGTCAAATACTCAGCTAAAAATTATATATACAATAGTTCATCTATTCCTCATAACAATTGTTTAAAGCAATATTATTTGGCAGAAGGTGCTACCTGACCTAGACTCAGAGGATGGGTAGCATTAAGATAGGAAAAGAAGAAAGAGCAAGGCAACCTAAGATAGGAAAAGATATTAAATCTCAGAGTTGTAAGGGATCTTGGAGATTGCTGGATTTGTCCTAGGATGATACATGGATTCTCCGTCAGTATCGTTAGCGTCTGCTGTAACCCTTTTAGTGATGAGGAACTCACTCCTCTGAAATAGTTCATTCTGCTACCAACCAGATCCGAATGTCAGAAAGTTGGAAAGCAACAATAATTTTGATCATCT